CTTTTCGGTTTTGTGTGCACTGACATAAACATACGTCTGATATGTTACTTACGTTGAAATTACCGATATTCAAAAATAAAATAAAAAAACCTGTGATAGTTAAATATCCTGTTGCAGAACATCGTATGAATGAAATACATTATTGTAGATTTCGAGTTGGCTTTAGTCAACTAAAGGACGATTTGTATAAACCAAAATTAATATCTGATCCTTTCTGTTCATGTGGGGCTGTTGAAACTAGTGAACATTTTTTCTTCCATTGTTCTCTGTATAATATTGAACGTTCCTTATTGTTTGATGAGGTATTGAAGCTATTGTCTATGGCCTCAACTATTTCTATGCCCATGCTGATGTTGCGCGATCTGCAATTATCGCATGATGAATGCGATGGCATTTATTATTCTGCGTTGCGGTATATAGATGCGACAAAGCGTTTTGCAAGTTCGGTCTGAGTAACCTTCAATTCTAGTATATCCAACTGCCGCTTTGACCTATTAGCAACTTCCGTTGTATTTATTGTTATTTCTTTTTATCATTATATTTCATTTTGAATCTTTGTTTTGAGAAGGAATTGTACAAAGAATGCTTATGCAACATCAACCCCGGAACACACAGAGCGCTATCCTCACTTTTTCATTCCCTGCCCAATTTTTATTTTTTATTTTTTATTTTGTTTCAGCTCTTCTCCTTTTTATCTTTACTATTGATCTTTTACTTGTTTTGTCTTTCTGTACTCTTGTTTATTGTGGGCAAAATTGCTCGTTTATAGTGCTACAGTGAGTCCGCGACTCATTGCATTTATTTTTCTCTTTCTTTCAATAAAACGTTTAAACGGACATAAACGTTGATTTATCTCAGTAACTGTTTATGATAATAAAATCGGTCTAGAGTCAAAAGATCGACGGGTCTAAACATGACAATTTGGTAAAAAGAAATTTTCTCCAGTTCTATCGGTTAGTGTAGGGCGGAACAATCGTTTGGAGAGAAATTTGATCTTCACACAACTTGTGCACGAACATTTTCACTTTTGTTTCCCTCATAATTCCTGCAAAATAAATCCGTTTGCTTTGAAATTATCCTTTTTCAACATCCAGATGTTACACATGGCATAAAAAATAAGCTCAAAATCTCTTATCGACTCGTCTTTCTAAGCTACATCTAACTATATACTCGGAATGGCTCTCTAACCATATCCCAGTGGCTTTTTATGGCATGTGTCTTTTACAGCAAACTAGGACATGACTATCCTCCGCTTATGTTAGTTTCGGGTTGGAGTTACTTTTCTGGAACATTTTTTCTAACATAAATATGGAATGATTTACTCTTAACCAAGAACAAACTACAATTAATCAGTCAGCTAATTGGATAACCAATGAAAATGTAATTAATACGTGAAATGTAGCTTGTCCAAATAAAACTTTCGTAATTTTTCGTCAAAAAATTTAACAATGTTATAAAATAATAATATCAATAACAATGAACTATAATTCCACCACCGGATCGGATTCTATCAAGAGTCTGTAAGCAGAAACTAACACGGAAACAGTAAAAGGTGTTGAAATAGAATCATTCTATAATTTTCTTACTAAACCACTATTCATCCTTTTTTGGGTCCATTGTGTGGGGGAAAAAACGTATTAACAAACGCTAAAAAGTCGAGTCTAAGGATCCTCACTGTCTGCACATGTGTCGCACTACATTCGCACATGCACCATTCGATGCGCATTGACGAGTTCTTTCGAACAGTATATGGCACTTGTCTTTTTCATTTAAGAAATAACTTTTTCTTTCATCAAAACCCTAAGGGTTTCCGTAACTCTAGAAAACCTCCTGATTCACAGTCGCCAATGCACCAAGCGTAGGGAAAATACTATATTCATAGACAATCGACATTCCTCGATTCAAATACACGTCTGTGAATTTTTTTCTATTTAACTTGAATTTTTTTTTTCTAACAGTACAATACCGTCACAATTCATTCAGGATAATTCGGTTTTCAACTTAATCCTCGTTGAGATCTATCAGACATTTGTACTTAAAATTTTTTTGTGCGGTAAATAATATAGAAACAGAAAATGCGTGATAAAAGCCCTGAAACCAGTGAGGTACGTAAAAGTATATCAATCGTGTATCGAAATTTAAAAATGTTTTTTCTATTTTCTTTTTTTATTTAAGTATTCCTTTTTCTTTGTGATTTTTTTTATGTTCTATTCTTCTTTTCTATTTCAAATTGTTGTGGTTCTATGTTCTTTCCATTTATTGTCTTTTTTCTCATGGGGATTTTTATAAACTCCAAACTACAGTTAGGATTTCTGTTTTAAACTTATAATTTAGTGTATGCTTGCTCATGTTTCGAAATAAACTACATTAAACATAAAATACAATTTTCGATGTCTTATTGCTCAAATTGAATTTGTTGGATACTTAGTCCCCATAAAGACGATGATCATTAATAAAATCGAAGGACGGGACAAAACAGATAACAAGAAATTGGATACTGTATTTAATAAAGTTACATCTCAGAAACTTTAAAACGAACATTAACATCACTAAAATGCAAAGCATTATCATTATGTGACGTCATTTACTCAATATAGNAACATAAAATACAATTTTCGATGTCTTATTGCTCAAATTGAATTTGTTGGATACTTAGTCCCCATAAAGACGATGATCATTAATAAAATCGAAGGACGGGACAAAACAGATAACAAGAAATTGGATACTGTATTTAATAAAGTTACATCTCAGAAACTTTAAAACGAACATTAACATCACTAAAATGCAAAGCATTATCATTATGTGACGTCATTTACTCAATATAGATCTGTACGAGTTCTGTGAAAATAGTACACTGATATGATGTAGAACTGGATTATAAATTGTAAACAAAATTTGTATTAGATATTTCGCAGCGTCTGCACAGAAATTTACGCACGTGTATGATTTGGATAGATATACAAAATCTGAGAAGACAAAATAAAAACACACAAGATCAAAATTTTTCTAGTTCGACGTAACTGGAAAGCGTTTTTCACCATAGTACGATGAATGAAATTCTAAATCATTTCTGTATCAGCTTGTAGATGGACTGCTATAGACCAACAAAAAGATGACGTTTCTGCTAATGAAATCGAGACGACATGTTTGATCAATTTCAAAACAAATTTAAAATGAGTTGTTTAAAAGTATGTTTACGATACTACTCACAATATAAATCGGAAAGATTTCAAGATTTTATTAACACATTAAAATCCATAACGTTTATTTATTAACGAAGGGCTGTTAATATTAGACAGATGCTATAATATATTCGATTCAGTCTCATTTTTCATATATCCTAATAGAATTTCAAAAAACTTTTTACAAAACCTTTGAGACTAATTATTCATTGACTGACTCTCATTTTTGAATTACTCTCTCGATTCTGATCTCTTTGCGTCTCCACTATCTCTAAGTGTGTTAGTTTGTGTTTTGGGGTTATTTATTTTGTATTAGATTTCTTCAATTTTGTGCTCTTCACGTATAATGAACGCCATTCACTGAACTTAATCGTCACTGCCTCGACAAGACTTGAGTCAGGAATTTCTCCTTTACTTGCCTCAACTCGTTCCGAAGCCATACTTCTTATATAAAGTTGCACTGAAGTTGATTAGTGCATTATTGATTTCACAACGAAAAATAATCTGTACACCATGAGCATTCTAACTACAGAACAGAAAAAGAAAATTTTTTATAAAAGAAACATCTATTATAACAACAGTTAATACTATTCTATTAATCTTTTTGTAAATCTTATACATCGTTTATATAAAAGACCTTGATCACTTGTTCAACATATAATTGAGTTACCAGTGAGCGATTGATTTGAATTAATGTCAGATTGCTACTCGTAAAAGCCGATAATCCTCGGTATTAAATCTCCGGTCTGACAAGTAGTTTTTAGTCGATCAGAGATACAAAAAGTTTGTCGTTCATTTTATATTTTTAATTTGTCTGACGATAATGTTCATCAACATCGAAACGACATACTTGAATTTTTTGATAGTAAAAGAATGAATTATTCTAAACAATTTTAATAAATAGTTAGTTTTCTATGATACGTTAGTTCTTATAAGAAAATGTATCCGTGTCTTTCTTTTACTTTGACAACTTTTATTCTTTCTGTTGTTTTTTAACGTTTTTATCATTTATGTTTCGTGAAAATGAAAAGTTGTACTTCCGTAATGTAAAACTTTTTTTTAATTAAATATGAAACAATAAACGCAAATGACGTTACAGTTTCATTTATTCTACCATATCTACAATCCACTGTTAAATTATTAGTTTTTATTCATAAATATTTCATAATTCATGTTGGCTTTATTATAAGTTAACTATTATAAACTTTGTTTATTATATATTTTTATAGTGAAAAAAGATGAGTTGGGGTGGAACACAAAATATCTATACTTAATATAATTTTAGATCTGTTAAATGATTTTTTTCTGTTTTTCTCTTCTCCTATGTTATATTCAAAAGCGAATCAAAGTGCTTTACTTTTCTATTTTACTATATTAGAGTTGTGTCTTTTTTGTGTTACAGTGAATACAACAGGATCTAAGAAATAAAAAAGGAGACAAATATGTGTGTGCATTTCTATACCGAGTTAAGCCTTTATAATCGTCAATTCTTTTTTTTTGTTCTCTCTTTCATTCTGTTTCGTTACTATTCATATATATGCGATTGTGGAAAATTAGACAGATTTTTAGTATGAAATATGTCGTCAAAAATTACAACAAAAAGATTCTACATTCTCCAAGGTATGTATCATTTTTCAGATACAGACTTTATTAAAGAAGAACATTTTCATTTGACAGGAAGGATGTGTTCAGGATGTTTTGACTTTCACAGACAGTCTTATCCCATGAGCTCATCTAGTATGACACGTTTGGTCAAGTGTTCGTTGTTAGAGACAATCTTAGGAATAAACGAGATATGAACAATTTCAAAGAATTATCATGCTGACTAGTCGAACGTGGACTATTACACAGGAACTGAAAGATGATGCCAGTAAAATATACTCAATTGCACAAAAAAATGTTGCTGACACAAGTGGTTCAATAGTTGGCCAAAACGATCGGACCGGCTTATTTATTGCTTTATTTCTCTTATTTTTACTTTTTGTACTTATTCTATATTTGTTATACAATTGTTTTTCCAATCGTTCATTGTCCAACGTATGTCACAAACAAGAAAAGTTTGATAAAAAGGCGACTGCTGACAAAAACAACATCAGTATTCAAGATCATTTACAAAGTCAACATTTAGAAGATGATTCTCTTATTGACAACATTGATAGCATCACGCCACCATTATCAAATCGTTATTCTCAGTCGTCTTCTATCCGCTCTAATAATCGGCAAAATTCTTATAAAATTTCCTCCCAAGCGTCGAAACTATTGACACCACGAGTATCACAAATATTAACAACAACCGTAGGAGGCGATTGTAATGGAGACATTGATTCTTGCATAAAAACTCTATCATTACATCAAGAATTAGAACCCTATTCAGCCACTCTATTATCGCGTACAATATCCAAATATTACGAAAACAAAAGAAAACTAACGAGTTCTAAAACTCTAGCACGTCGTTCTCGATCATGCGAACAGTTGTACATATTTGATGGAATAATCTCTAGAAAATCGTTAACAAAAATTAATTACTTACATCATCACAGACGAATACATTCAGAGCGAATAAAAGGTCATTGGAAAACAGAGCATCTAAGGTCAAAGAATCTACTCAGCTTACCAACAGTTGGGCATGATTTTTCAACAATGTCAATAATTACAAACAATGCTAGTTTGTGGAAAAGTGAACATTTGAGTAAAAAAGATAATACAGGAAGCAGTATAAAACGGAAACAACGACAATACATTCAACCGCATCATTGTGAAGAACATTCATTTTCAGCTAAACAAAAACCTACAACAATTTATGAGCTCTTTCGATCAGATAAAATGAGAATTCAAAATTTATTATAAATAACTATTATCTCCCTTACTTTGTGCATATCATTTTGTGTGGATTATTAGTCAATAAAAGTGTATCGAGTACTGAACACTACACTAGGATATTATAAATCATTCCTATTTTTTACCTCCAAGTCGGTGGTTAGCGTCCAAGCTAACTGTTTGGCACTATCCATAACATGACTATTCAACTATAAAGTAATTGTTCCCACATATTATCTACTTTTACTCGTATTACTTTCAATTGAGTGAATTCTTCTCAAGCAAAATTCACATAATTTCTTATTTTTGTCACTCCAACAGTCTAATATCTTGCCTTCCTTTTTTCAACTAGTCACCACTGTAACAACACCTTTAATACACTCTACCTTTAATTTACCGCAGTTTTCCAAATTATAAATAGGACAGATCTGACAACATCTGCATCATACATGATTCAGTATGAATTTTGACTTTGAACACTGAATTCAGCGTGGATTGAGTGGAATTTAATAAGCAAAACTATTGGTTTTACCGTTAATCAGAAGTTAAAACAGTAACGACAAACTGTTATAATATCAACCTGGAACTTCACACGTTTCAAACAGCACACAGTTTCCAGAAATCTAAAAATAGATTTTAATTATTTTCATCCAGTCTGGCACAAGTGTGAATTCACATGCACCGTGATCGATGAAATGGTTACTTTAATTACTGTACGGTAACTTAATACTTTAAGACTATGGATATCAGGTAGTAAGTGTCTAGATCTGTTACTCAAGTGGGCAGTTTTGACTTTTTATGAATCATTATCATTCTGCTGTATGAGACTAGAGCGAAAAAAATTCATTTAAAATTTTATTGTTTTATATCGATGAAGTTTTACACGTTGATTTCAAATATCACCTTATTTTTTTAAAGAAATCTTCACCAGTGGAGAAAACTAGACTTTACTAAAAGGTCACAAGGGATTTTTGGAAAACCCGTGGCTCAGTTCAGGAAAAGTTTGCTCCTTTTTGCACATACATGATCGATACAGTGCACGGAGAAGAACAGTCTGATATGCTTTTTAATGGAATTGAAGGCGGAAGAAAACGTTGGATCACACGAATACTAATATTAGATCACTTTTCCTCTCCATATTAATGATTTATTAAACGTTACAATCAGGTATGCACCGTGTCGAGCTACCCAAAAATTAAAGTCTGTTTTTTTTCTGATTCTCAGACCTCCACATTAAAGAGGGTCCTACACTTCTATTCTATTTTGCATGTTAGCAAACGACATTTGTGTTGTGTCCAGATGCCATGCTGCTGTATGAGCTTCCTCTCAAAATTAAACTGACTTGTTTCGGTTTATGTTCGACGCAGCTTCAGTCTGTTTTGAAACAGGAAACTAATTTTGTAGTTTTAAATTTTCGGGTAGCTCGGTTCGAATTTCGGGTATACTAGAAGCTCGATGCATACCTAGTTACAATACGCGGCGACCTACTTTTACTTTTTACCAGTTGCTGCTTATTTTTCTTACTCTATTTCAACAGGAGCGGAGCGATAAGGAGATGTAAGAAAGGTATCTTCACCTGCTTTTGAAAATTCTGACGTAAATTTTCTTCATTTTCACTGAAAAATGTGATAAATTTGCTTCGATTTGCAGAAAAAAATAGAGAATTTTCTTTAATTTTGTAGAGAATTTTTGTAGTTTTTGTTTCACATTTCTCTCGCTTCACCATATTTCTTCCAAAATTTGGAGAAAAGTCATTGTGCGCGTACTGGCTATGCTGATCGTATGAAAACGGCTTTCTGATTTGTTCGGTGTTTTTAATAGAGATATGTACGGGTGAGATTTTGAGACTCGTACCCGAGGCGTACCCAACAAATATTTTAGACTTTCTCTGTTTTTTGAGATACCCCTTCTACTCTAAGGTTGTCGCGCCGCCACTATATTTCAATCTTTTGCCTAATCATTATGTATTAGTGTCTACAGGTCTATATATGTGAAATTTAAATTGTTGTATGGTCGTTCAACCGCTTTTCTTATGGATATTCATTAAGGCCGCTCCCCTCCCCTCCAAAATCGATTTTCGATACAGTGCACGAAATTTTCCACAAATGTTGGGCACATTAGAGTAAAGTTGTGAAATTTTTTTTCGCCGCCAGACCTCAGCGTTCAGGAGTTTTCTAGAGACCAAGGCCCAAAATGGGTCCTCTGCCTGCGCAAACTCTTTTTCACTATACTTTACAGAACCCTCGGTTGTTTTATTCGAAGGAGAACTGTTTACCCCTTCAAATGAGAGGAAGGGATATTTTTATTATTGCGTTCTTTAATTTTGGAGAGCGTCGAAACCTCTAAAACCTTAAAATATCATCAGAGGTGTTCCAGACAGACGCGGTGTTTTACAGAACTAGAGCCTAATTAAAAAATTTCTTCCCCTCATTCGCGCTAATTAGCGTTTTCTGAGTAACTCAAAGACGATAAAAGATAGAGATTTACGGTTTTCAGTAATCGAAAGAAAATAGTTTTGCCTATGTTTTCCTAAGCAAAATCCTTTTCGAAAAATATTCGAAAGATCGATTTTCTAAGAGGTCATTACAAACCAGTTTGGATCTCCGGATATTGAGATAGCAATCTATCAGTTTTTTTCCACAGATATACAATTCAGAGTGTCCTCTGCAAAATGGGAGCCAAGTGGACTCTTAATTTTTCCTAGTTCAGGCATGGCATCGGGGTTCCTGAGAGTCCCTGAATCAATATTTCTTTAAGTGAGGTAATTCCCAAGACGAAGGGAAACATAGGTAATCAACCACGCTAAATCTCGTGGCAACATTTATTTTTCAAATAAGTTCCAAAAATCTACTGAAAACGTATATGGCGTGAAATAATCCATTGCCTATTTCCGAGTAAAATTAAAAAATTCATAACTCAGTCAAAATCCTATTTTGCAGAGGACACTCTGGATTATACATCTATGGAAAAAAATTGATAGATTCCTATCTCAATATCCGGAGATCCAAACTGGTTTGTAATGACCTCTTAGAAAACCGATCTTTCGAATATTTTTCGAAAAGGATTTTGCTTAGGAAAACATAGGCAAAACTATTTTCTTTCGATTACTGAAAACCGTAAATCTCTATCTTTTATCGTCTTTGAGTTACTCAAAAAACGCTAATTAGCGTGTCTCGTGCAGAAACAGAGCTCCAGAATTTTCTAAATCGTCGAGATTCAATAATACTTTTATATATTTGTGAAGTAGACATCTCAGGCCACGCGCCCGTACACCTATCTCAAAAATCATTTTTTTGACGAAAATCGACTTTTTGAAGGGGGGGCGGCCTTAAGTAGCTGAATAGTTTTAATATCGTTGTCTAAGATGTTCGGTTCAGAACATAATTTTGATTCATATAGCTAAATGGCGTGATTAGTCCAGTCTCATGGTTTTGTTCAGAGCTGGGTAAGTCAAGCTTTCCCGCACAATATTGAAAGCTTTTGTCCCAACGTGGATGATCTAAAAAAATTTTGTCAGTGAGGCCGATAAGCACGTGAGTCCTATTGATATTCTATGTATTCAAGAGTCATGGTTAACTACGAACATTAAGGATCCAGAAATTGACATTGCCGGTTATTCTGCCTACAGGAATGATCGAACATCAATTGACTCTCACAATCCTCACGGAGTAGTTTGCACGTATGTATCGAATTCTATATCTCATAAGCTCGTAGCTTCCTGTACAAAAACAGAATCTGTCCTTATAAAACTTAGATCAAATGTTAAGGAAATCTTTATTTGTTGCTCATACAGGAAACCAGGTACCGTCCAAACACACATTACCGCAAAATCGACTTTTTATACGGCGGTTTTCAAGGCTCGACTTAATATTTTTCGAGATCAGAATCCTTCAGAAGATTGGACACTAAAAGGGCGTCTTATTCAAATGAGGAATAAAAAGCTAAATTTTCCCATGTAATTTGTATGGGCGGCGAAAAATCATGATGTGGCGCCATTTAGGCAATGCAAAAATGCATAGGAAAAAATTTTACTTTTTTATTCCTCATTTGAATAAGACGCCCTTTTGGTGCCCAACCTTTTGAAGGATTCTTATCTCGAAGAACATTCAGTCGAGCCTTGAAGACCTCCCTCCGTATGAAAAGTCGATTTTGCGGTAATGGGCGCAAACATATTTTGAATCTTTAGCATTGTTTTTGTTAGTTCATCTACAACCAGGCTCTCAGTTAATACTTTTGGGGGACTTCAACGTGGATATTAAAAATAACCGCAGTGTATACAAAATTCTGAATGAAACTATTTTAGCCTTTAATTAACTCCTGCTTTCTCATGTTTTACTGCTGTTCACAACACACGTTTAGATAATATTTTCTTGCCTAGTGAGAGAGAAGCTCCAGTGAGAGAGGAGCTTATTCTCTACTACAGCAGTTTACTTTAAATCAAAGAACTCTAATGAACCGAGCTATAGCATCTAACCCTGTTAGGTCTCAAGATAACTTACAACTTCAGGTGGGTTCAGTACGTAGAAGATCTCGCTTTGTCTTGTAGACAACGCCTTGGAGCGATGTATCGCCAATTTAAAGAATCATCTGCTCACATCCGCCTTCAAATCTATAAAACTTGCATTTTGAGTAAGACGGACTATGCATGTGCATTATACGATAGCGACTTTGCAAATAACAATACCCGTCTAGAATTTGTTCAACATTTAGTTGCACATATGACCACACGGAACTTTAATAGTGTAGGATCTGACCTAGTGAACAAATTAAAACGTAAATATTTCCGACTCGTTCTCTTTTTCAAAATTTTTAGAGGATTCTCTCCACTCTCTAGATTAGGCACTATCAGATATAACCCAAACAGACAATCGAATCGTAACACCCTACTCTCTAAAACAAATCCGTAGCTTACAAAACGAATATCGGTTTTGGCATTTGCTCCTAATAGAAACCGATATCCGTATCGTACAGTCCTGCATACCCGTTTCGCAGAATACGTTTCAACGTTTTTTCTCTGG